CAAAGTGCCTGTTCATATCCTTTGCCCATTTTTTAATTGAGTTATTTGTCTTTTTGTTGTTGAGGTTTTGCAGTATCTTGTAGATTTTAGAGATTAGATGCTGATTGGATTTGTCGTAGCCAAAATTTTTTTCCCAGTCTGCAGGTTGTCTTTTGACTCTTTTGGTGAAGTCTTTTGATGAACGTAAGTGTTTGATTTTTAGGAGCTCCCAGTTATCTAGTCTCTCTTCTGGTGCTTATGCATTGCTACTTATGGTTTGTATTGTGTTTATGCCATGTATCAGGGCTGTCAATCTGAATCAACTCAGTGGTAATGGGTTTGGTTTTGGTCCCCCAAAGAAGAACAGTTAATACTACTATTATGCAAATTTATGCACCAACCACTAATGCCTAAGATTAAAAAAAATGAAGATTTTTACCAACTTCTGCAGTCTGAAATTGATCAAACATGCAATCGAAATGTATTGATAATTACTGGTGATTGGAATGCGAAAGTCAGAAACAAAGAAGGATCAGTAGTAGGAAAATATGGCCTTGGCGGTAGGAACGACACCAGAGATCACATGATAGAATTTTCCAAAACCAATGACTTATTCATTGGAAATTCCTTTTTTCAACAACATACACAGTGACTATACATGTGGCCCTCACCAGATGGAATACACAGGAATGAAATCGATAACATCTGTGGAAAGAGATGATGGAGAAGTTCAATATCATCAGTCAGAACAAGGCCAGGGGCCGACTATGGAAGGCACCAACAATTGCTCATACGAAGTTCAAGTTGAAGCTAAAGAAAATTAAAACAAGTCCATGAGAGCCAAAGTACAACCCTAAGTACATCCCACCTGAATTTAGAGACCATGTCAAGAACAGATTTGATGCGTTGAACACTACTGACCAAAGACCAGACGAGTTGTGGGATGACATCAAGGACATCATACATGAAGAAAGCAAAAGGTCATTAAAAAGAAAGAAAAGACTAAAATGGATGTCAACAGAGACTGAAATATGCTCTTGAATGTAGAATAGCTAAAGTGAATGGAAGAAATGATGACACAAAAGAGCTGGGCAGAAGATTTCAAAGGGCAGCTTGAGAAGACAAAGTAATGTATTATAATGAAATGTGCAAAGCCCTGGAGTTAGAAACCAAAAGGGAAGAACATGCCAGGCATTTCTCAAACTGAAAAAACTGAAGAAAAAAGTCAAGCTTCGAGTTGCAGTACTGAAGGATTCTATGGGCAAAATGTTGAACCACCTAAGAAGCATCAAAAGAAGATGGAAGGAAGACACAGAGTCGCTGTACTGTACCAAAAGAATTGGTCGACTTTAAACCATTTCAGACGGTAGCATATGATCAATAACCGATGGTACTGAAGGAAGATGTCCAAGTGGCACTGAAGGTATTGCAAAAAACAAGGTTCGAGGAATTGACAGAATACCAGTTGACATGTTTCAACAAACAGATGCAACGCTGTAAGCGCTCACTCATCTATGCCAAGATATTTGGAAAACAGCTACCTGGCCAAACAACTGGAACAGATCTGTATTTGTTTCCATTCCAAAGAGAGGTGATCCAACAGAATGCAAAAATTATCAAACAATATCATTAATATCATGCAAGTAAAATTTCGCCGAAGATAATTCAAAAATGGTTGCAGAAGTACACGGACAGGGAACTGCCAGAAATTCAAGCTGGATTTAGAAGAGGACTTGGAATGAGGGATATCACTGCTGATGTCAGATGGATCTTGGCTGAAAGCAGAGAATACCAGAAAGATGTTTGCCTGTGTTTGACTATGCAAAGGCATTCGATTGTGTGGATCATAACCAATTATGGATAACATTGCAAAGAATGGGAATTCCAGAACACTTCATTGTGCTCATGTGGAACCTGTACATAGACCAAGAGGCAGCCATTTGACCAGAACAAGGGGATACTGCCTGGTTTAAAATCCGGAAACGTGTGTGTCATTGTTGTCTCCTTTCACAATAGTTATTCAATCTGTATGCTGAGCAAATAATCCGAGAAGCTGGACTATATGAAGAAGAACGAGGCACCAAGATTGGAGGAAGACTCATTAACAACCTGCGTTATGCAGATTGCACAACCTTGCTTGCTGAAAGTGAAGAGAACTTGAATCACTTACTGATGAAGGTCAAAGACCAAAGAAAACAAAAATCCTCACAAGTGGACCCATAAGCAACATTATGATAAATGGAGAAAATGTTGAAGCTGTCAAGGATTTCGTTTTACTTGGATCCACAATCAATGCCCATGGAAGCAGCAGTCAAGAAATCAAACAACATAGACCAGCCTTACTGGTCTGACAGAGACTGGAGAAATCCCAAGTGTATGGCCCCCCAGACATCCTTTTCACTCAGTGCTGAAGTCACTCCTGAAGTTCACCCTTTAGCCAAAGATTAGACAGGGCCATAAAACAAAACGAGACTAAATGGGGACACAAGCCCAGGAGCAAAGACGAGAAGGCAGGAGGGGACAGGAAAGCTAGTAATGGGGAATCCAAGGTTGAGAAGGGGAGAGTGTTGCTACGTCGTGAGGTTGGCAACCAATGTCACAAAACAACATGTGTATTGTCTAATGAGAAACAAGTTTTCTCTGTAAATCTTCATCTCAAGTACAATTTAAAAAAAATGAAAAAGAAATCAAGCGACATATTGCAGTGAGAAAACCTGCCGCAAAAGACCTCTTTAAAACGTTAAAAAGCAAAGATGTCGCTTGAGGACCAAGATGCGCCTGACCCAAGCCATAATATTTTCAATGGCTTCATATGCATGCAAAAGCTAGACAATGAACAAGGAAGACCGAAGAATAATTGATGCCTTTGAATTATGCTGTTGGCGAAGAATATTGAACGCACCATGGACTGCCAGAAGAATAAATCTGTTTCGGAACAAGTACAGGCAGAATGCTTCTTAGAAACGAGGATGGCCAGACTTGGTCTCATGTACTTTGGATATGTTATCAGGAGGGGCCAGTCCCTGGAGAGGGACACCGTGTTTGGTAAGGTAAAGGGTAACCGAAAAATGGGAACACCTTGAACTAGATGGATTGACACAGTGGCTGCAATTGGCTCAAACATAGCAACTACTGTGCGGATGGCAGAGGACTGGGCAGTGTTTCGTTCTGTTGTACATAGGGTCGCCATGAATCGGAACAGACTCGATGACACCTAACCACTACAACACCCCCCAAAATTTAAAAGAAAAAAAAAAGCCCTCCACCACGGACAGCTTGTTAAGTACTGCCCCAGGGGCCCGGGAACCCTCTAGGCAGCACCCCGAGGCCGAGGAGGGCAGAGCATCCCAACCAAGCACGCAACACGCAGACTGCAGGGGTAAGGTGTTCGTTAAGACCTTCAGGACCCAGAATGAGTTGGGGAAGCGGGAATTGGGCGTTAGGGGCGGGGAGCTCGAAGAAACTAGGTGGAGTGTCCCAAAACGCAGTGCCCAGAAAAAGCTGCGGGTGTGCTTTTCCGCCCAGAGCGTGCACGTAGGAGGTTGGGCTTCCTGCGCATGCGCTCCCCGGACACGCCCCTCCCCGGACACGCCCCCCGACACCGCCCCTCGACCTAGCGCTGACGTCACGTCCGGCGGCCGAGGCGCCGGGGTCCTGTCACTGCGGGCAGCGGGGGTGTCTTGGTGCCTCCTGCCGCCCCGCCGCGCCCGCCGTCGCGCGTTCGTCCCTTCGCCCGGTGCAGCCCCCACGGCGCGCGCCCACCCGCCCGCCGGCCGGTCAGAGCACCGGGCCTCTCCCGGACCACTTAGCGTCAACCCGGGAGTGGTTTCCTCTGCTGGAGGTGACTGGACGACAAGAGAGTGGGACCTGGGGTCTGTTTTCCCGTCAGTCGGCCGCGGATGGGCAGGATTTCTAATTTACAATATTCCCTCTTAGAGGGCGCGTTTGCCTTTATAGTGCAGTCTGAGGGTCGCATTGTGTCGCCGTGCAGCTCTCTGCGTGCTGCTTCTAAATAAACCTCCAACTCATTCTGGCGTTTTAATGCGTTGGAATTTAGTTTTCTTTTTATTATTATTTTTTAAGCATCTGCTCTTGAAAGATCAGAGCCCTTTAATATTTCTCTGTGTAAACGAAGCCTGATCTTACCTGTGACCGAGTCGGCTCAGAGAATATCTTTTCAATAAAGATCTTGGCTGTGAGGATCCCAACCGTCCCATGATATCGGGGACGTCTCAGGGTTTTTAATGCCTGAGGATTTACTATTTTTTGCACCGACACTTTAAATATTTGTGTGGGGCAGTGCAATACTTTTTTGGAAAATGCACTGCAACCTTTCTGTTCTTAAAACACCAATCTCATTTGACGTTTTCTTTAGGAAGGGTATTGTGTTGGAGCCTGAGACCACTGATGTTTGAGTTCTTGTGTCAGATTTTTAAAATAGTTCTTCTGTCTCTAACTCGATCGGTGGCATCTCTTGTCACAACCAACTATGATCCTGTACAGAGCAGCCCCTCTTCTGGCCTATAGTTTAAGGCTGTTAGTCTGTTGTGAAAACTGGTGGCACAGTGGTGAAAGCACTTGGCTGCCAACTGAAAGGTCAGTGGTTTGAACCCACCAGCTGCTCCTCGGGAGACAGATGTGGCAGTCTGTTTTTGTAAAGATTACAGCCTCGGAAACTATATGGGTACAGTTCTACTGTGTCCTATAGGGCCGCTCTGAGTCATAATCGACTGGAAGGCAGTGGGTAGTGGGAGTCTGTTGTGGGTTCTGAAATTTTATAATTTGATAAAATTGTGTTTAAAAGAAAACTTTAAGTGATGAGCTTATGGCTTTTTACTTTTTTATAACTTGATTTTTCATTCTGTGAGATGTCCAGTTTAGAAAACACAGCTAAGCAAAGGAAGAATTAAAATCATCTGGAGTCCCACTCCTTAGCGATAACCAGTGGAACATTTTGAAACAGTCTTTTAATTTTTTTTTGATGCATAATGTCTGTAAAAACAAAATGCAATCATTGTATACATTCTATACAATGTTGGGTAACCTTTTTTGCATGACAGATGTTGTCCCGTTTCACTAGGGTTTTTTTTTTTTTTTTTTTTTTAAAGCATTTTTAATGACTAGAGAATATTCTGTTGTACTGGGTGCTCCCATAAGTAAAGTAGGAGACCTACTGCATGAACCTTGTGCTGTCTATTTTAGCAGCTCAGGGAAGTTTTGATTTATGTTTTGGTTTTTGGCCAGGGTGCATAGGTGCAATGGTGTTGTTAGTTGCCGTCCAGTCGATTCTGACTCACGGCAACCCCATGTGTGCAGAGTAGAACTGCTCCATAGGGTTTTCGAGGCTGTGACCTTTCAGAAGCAGATCACCAGGCCTTTCTTCTGAGGCACCTCTGGATGGGTTCAAACCGCCAGCCTTTAGACTAGTAATTGAGTGCTTAACTGTTTGCGCCATCCAAGGACTCCTGAGATGGTATTAGAATTGTACAAAAGGAAAGGTTTAATATTGAGTCGTATGCCAGGGCAAGAAGTTTACCGTAGTATACCAAATTTTTCTGAAAAGGTGGAGAAAATCACTGAATATTTTTGCAATATTTCATTCCTTGTTTTTAGGCTCACTTTCCCCTTCTCCCTGCTCTCTCTCCTCCAAGAATGAAGCATGACCGAGGACCCTCAGAGAAACTTCCGTTCCGTATATTATGAGAAAGTGGGCTTTCGTGGAGTTGAAGAAAAGAAGTCACTAGAAATTCTCCTAAAAGATGATTGTCTGGGTGAGTTTTGCCAGTTAGAATACACTTATTGGTTATCAGTTATTTCCAGATGTTTGAAATAAATGTTACCTTAAAAGACATCAGAGGGATTTGTTACATTGCTATGTTTTCTAGTAAATACAGCAGAATGGTGTATTTTGAGAGAAGATTTTTCAAATTTGTACTTCACTGAGGGAGAAGTTTTTGAAAGACCTCTTAAGAAAGCAATTTTTTTTTTTTTTCTCCTATTAGACCCATATACGTTCTCTCCTCAGTTTTCCGATGTGTCATCCCAGCTTTGGGTAAATTTTGCAACAACTGGCTGTGATTTTCTTTTATGGAAAGACTAAGACTATGTTATGTATCGACATTTTAGTTTCTTTAATGCTAGCAATAATAGGGTCTGTTCTGTTGTTGATCAAAGTAGAATAAACTGAACCTTGGTTAAAAATAATATTTAATATGCACAGAGTGCTTTTAAAGTTTCAAAAAGAGTTCCTATAGTCCAAAAGATTTGATCCTCTCTATGTGGTCTGTGCTTTGAATATGTCTGGGATTATAATTCGCATTTGACAAGTAGGGATTTGACGGACAGAGGGATAGGGTGTGGCTTATTGGAAAATGTGGGGATTTGAGGCCTGACTGTGACACTCAGTAGCCGTGTTAACTGGGTCAGGTCACCTAACTACATTGAGTTTCAGTTTTCTCGTCTTTAAAATGATAGCAACCCAACAGGCTTGCCATATGGATTCAGTGAAAGAAATTCTACAAACAGTAACTACTGCTGTTGTTATAGGGAATGTAGTAATAGGTGCAAATGCATCTTCTAGGCTGTAAAACACTGATTTTTAAAAAACCGTGTTGCAAATATAAATAACAAAACATTTGCCAATTCAGTAATTTTCTACGTGTATAATTCAGTGACATTGATTACGTCCTTCATGCTGTGCAACCATTCTCAATATCCTTTTCCAAATTATTCCACCACCATTAACATAAACTCTGTGTCCCCCAAACAGGAACTCTCCCTTTCTTCTTCCTCCCACCCCTGGGAACCACTGATAAGGGTTGGTTTCTGTACATTTGCCGATTTCACGTAAGTTAGGTTGTACAGCATCTGTCCTTTTGTGACTGACTTAAATTTCACTCAACATAATGTTTTCAAGGTTCATCCATGTGGTAGCTGCTAATTATTTTTTAATAGCTAGTTGGTGGAAGACCTGGGCTGGAAATCAGACCAGTGTTCCCTTTCCTACATTTAACTGACCATATGGCAGACTTTGCTTGAAGAAATGTCTTACTCTCCTTTCTGTTATAAAAAAACAAAATGCACTTTTACATATTGTGATCATTGTGAAAAGCTTCTAATTGTTTTTCTCTTCCTCTAGATATTGAGAAACTTTGTACTTTTAGTCAGAGGTTCCCTCTTCCGTCCATGTACCGTGCATTGGTGTGGAAGGTGCTTCTGGGTATGTAGTCCAAGACTTGGGAGATTTATCATCAAAATATTCAAAGATAGGATTGTTCTTCATCGTATCAGTCAAAAAAGGATTGGTTTCAGCCCTTTCCTGAGTATCGGGCCTTCCTCAGGTGACTCAATTACTGCTCGCTCTGACAGCCTTTAAGAAGATGACTTCAGCAGCAGTATATTAAATGTTACTCTGGAGCGTCAGTTTATTAGAGAAGTAAGAGAAAGTAAAATGTGTTCCCCAGACAAGATGTGGAAAGAGTGGTTGGACTGGAAAAGAGGAGAACTGGTCTAGAAAGGAGAACTTTGCTGTCCGCTGGGTAGCCTTGAGGAAGACCCCTCGGGACCTCAGTTTTTACATCTGTAAAATGAGGAGATTGAACTAAATTACTTCTAGGTTTTAGCCCTAAATTTGTTAGGCTCTGTGATTCTCAGTTGTTAATTTCCTAATGGGTGCTATTAGAGTCCCTGGGTGGTACAAAGGGTTAACATGCTTAGCTGCTAACCAGAAAGTTGGCAGTTGAAGTCCATTCAGAAGGACCTTTGAAGAAAGGCCTGTTGATCTACTTCCAAAAAATCAACCATTGAAAACCCTGTGGAGCACAGTTCCTACTCTGACACACATGGGGTTGCATCATAGCAACCCAGAAACGTCCGCTGCCAGATGGGGGGTGGCTGCACATTAGGCGCACTGGCTGGGAATCCAACCCAGGTCTCCTGCATGGAAGAGGCAAGAATTCTACCACTGACCCATCAATGCCCTCATTTAGGTGGGTTAATGAGCACGAAATTTCATAGAAATGTAATATAAGGTAACTTTATCAGTTGAAAAATAGGAATTTCTGTTGCTCTGAAGATAGGATACTTCGTGAACAAGTTGTAATTGTGCAGAAGTAGGATTTGATATGTGTTGGTGCTTCTGTGATGTAGTTGCCATGTACAAAAACTGGAGAGAGGCTTCTGTGAGCTAAGAGCAGCCCCCACCTTACAGCCATAACTGAATTAAGTCATTATTATAATTGATGTGGTTATTATCTTGAATTTATCTGGCACACTTGTTCAAGGGCTTTTGTAATGCCATTTCATTTCTCTTTAATGTAACGATTTAATTGCCATTCAAATATTGATAGTATTTAAAAATTTAAAATTGTTTTATAATGAGAACTTTCTAAAAGAGAGTCTGTATGGAAATTAAATATTTGTACAAATTCTAGTCTAATTGCCATGGGTTCCTTCTCACAGGATTCTATTTATTAGAGGAGGAATTTGGATGAGTTTCTCAGTGATTTGCCCTTTTGCTTTTTCTGGTCTCCACGAAGGGATCCTCCCTCCACACCATGAGTCCCACACCCAGGTGATGACGTATCGCAAGGAACAGTACTCCGATATCCTTCATGCCCTGCAAGTGGTTCGCTTCGTCAGTGACGCCACCCCTCAGGTCGAAGTCTATCTCCGTATGCATCAGTTGGAGTCTGGGAGGTTGCCTCGGAGTCCCTCTTTTCCACTGGTTAGTGGTTGCCTTTGTTTGACACTTAGCTGAACTCTTGACTGACCCATCTTGCCAGTCTTTGGTTACTTCATGTTTTGCCTTACAAACTTCCAGTGGCTCCCCATTGCCTATAGACTAAAGACAACACAGCTCTTCTTGGCATTCACGGCCCTGTATGTTCTGACCCAATCTGCCTTATTTTTTGTTTTTTTATACATTTTATTTATTTTACTTTAAGTTTACACAACCAGTTAGGTTCCCATTTGACAATTTCCACACAAATCATTCAGTGACATTAGTTACATTTATCACAATATGTGAACATTCTTTTTAATTGTGTTCTGTTTGTTCCATTCCGAGTACTCTAGTTTCCCTGACCCTTTATCTTCTCATTTTTGTTGACCTTCTGGTCTCATACAGATGGTGTTTAAGTAGAGCACTGATCTTAATGGTAATAGAATTTATTTTGTGTGCCACTGCTGTTTCACTAAAAGAGGACTTCAGGGGATAGGCTCAGTCTAGGTTTAAAGAGTGTCTCAGGGTTAGTCTCAGGGAGTCCTCTATTCTCTACTGTTCAATTTGTGTGTTTTTTTTTTTTTTTTTTTAAGAATTTGAGTTTTGTTCAGATTTTTCTCAAATTCTATCCAGGACCATCTATTATGACTCTGGTCAGAACAGTCAGTGGTGGTAGCCAGGCACCATCTAGTTCTTCTAGTCTCGGGATAGATGAGATTGTGGCTTGTGTAGACTTGTTTCTTCTCTGAGCTTTTGGTTACCTTCTTACAGCTTTCCTTCTGGCGAGTAGAGACCTGTAGTTGGATCTTAGATGGCTGCTCGCAAGCTTTTAAGACCCCAGATACTATTCACTTCACTAGGATGCAGATCATGATTTTTGTGAACTATGTTATGCCAGTTGTCCAAATGGTTCCCTGAGCTTTGAAAGCCAGAAAACCAACCTTGGAAGGTGTTTGGTTATGTCTTAGGAGTATGTGTGTTTGTGTCTTCAATGAATACACATGCCTATACTTACATATTTGTATTTATATATACTTGTAGATACTTGGTATAGATACCTGGTGGCACAGTGGTTAAGAGCTCGGCTGCTAACCAAAAGATCAGCCATTCAAATCCACTAGCCATTCCTTGGAAACCCTATGGGGCAGTTCTACTCTGTCCTATAGGTAGGGTCGCTATGAGTCGGAATTGACTTGAGGGCAACGGGTTTGGTTTTTTTTATAGTTACTTCTGTCTGTTCTCACCCATGTACACACCTGTACCTACCAGTATACAGATATGCCTATACCCATCCACATGTGCTCAAACACTGTTGTTACTTTGGTTGTGCTGTGCTCACTGCATCCACATTTGGTGCCACCTTTCCCATCACAAAAAATAACAAGTCTCTACAATCTAAAGCAAATTTTCCCCTCTCCCCTCCTCGATAACCACTGATTCATTCATTCGTTTATTTCCCGTGTGTAGATACAAGTATTTAATGCTCTTGCCTTTCCATTTAGAGTACTCCCTTGAGTAATACTTGCAGGGCTGGTCTGGTAGTGGCAAATTCCTAGAGCTTCTGTTCGAGAATGTCTTGATTTCGCCCTCGTTTTTGAATGACAGCTTTGCTGGGTAAAGAATTGTTGGTTGGCAGTTGTTTTCGTTTGGTATTTTGTATATGTTGCTCTGTTGTCTTCTGGCCTCTCAAGTTTCTGGGCAGAAATCTGCATTGATTCTTAGGAAAGACGTTGGTATGTTATGTTGTATTTTTCTCTTGCTACTTTCAGAGTTCTCTCCTTGTCTTTGATTTTCAAGAATTTTATTAGGATATGGCGAGGAGTTGATCTTTTGTATTCCTTCTAATTGGGGTTCTTGTAGCTTCCTGTATTTGCAGGCTTGGTTCTCTGTTCAGGTCTGGGAAATTCTCTCTGATTATCTCTTGGAAAATTGTTTCTATGCCTTTATTGTTGTCATGGTGCTCTAGGATTCCAGTAATTCTACTGTTAAATTTCTTAGTTGAATCCCATATATCTATTTGGATTTGTTCACTTTTCCTTGTTCTTTACTCTTGTTTCTCTTGAGACTTGATACGTTCAGTTAGTTTGTCTTCTAGCTCACTTATTCTGTCTTCTGTCTGTTCGACTCTATTGTTGAGTGTTTCTGTTGCTTTTTCTAATTCAGTTGCTTTATTCTTCAGTTCAGTAGTTCTCTTTGGGTTTTTTATTTTTTCAGTTTCCTTGTTGAGTCTCTCATTTTGTTCTCCATTTCTTTTCTAATCTCTGCTAGTTTGTTTTCTGTGTACTTTTTGCTTTAAGTATAAAGATCCTTAGCGCCATCGTCTGAAAATTATCAATTCTTTCTGTTAGTCTGGCCTCCATAGGAGAAATTTCCTCTTCTTCATATTTTCCTTTTGATTGGTTCTTCTCTTGTGATTCTGTGTGTAGAATTTTTTGTTGAACTTGGGCCATTTTGTTATTTAATTTTTTTTTTAACTTTTAATTTTATATTCTGTTTTTTGTGGGAAGATTTTAGGATTGGGTGTCATGGTGATGCAGTAGCCAAGCGCCCACATGCCAGCTGAAACACCAGGGCACACAACCTGCCAGTTGCTCTGCGGGACAAACATGCAGCAGCCTGTCTCAGCAAAGACTCATAGCTCTGGGAACCCTACAGGGCAGCTCCATTCTACCCCACAGGGTCACTGTGAGTCAGAATCAACCTAACGGCAGTGGGCTTGATATCTTCTCCTCAGAGCCACTAGAGGGCACTCTTATCCTTAGGTTTTTCCAGTGCTGACTCAGGAGTTCTAAATGCTTGATCTCTGGAATTCGATACACATGTGCAGGGGAGGGACGTTTTAGCTGGTCACAGATGCTGACATAAATGGTGGGGCTTGACTTTCCTATGGCGAAAGTGGAGGGTTCTGTATGTCTTTCCTTCACAAGCACCCCTTTACAAGCTCTTGCACGGTGTCCCGCTGTGAACAGGAGGTCAGCCATTTCCCTTTGTATTGCCTTTCTGTTGCACTGCTGCCCTTACAGTTCCTCGTGGTCCTAGTGCCCATCCATCTGGGGCCTCAGTGAGATTCAACAGCACTCTCTCGCAGTGTCACGGCCTCGCTTCACCCCCTCCCAATTGCATGGGCCATGAACTCCCACAGCCAGTCTGCGCCGCCTTAAAAAAAATCTGGTTACAGCGTCCTCAGATAAGCTCCCTTTCTGTGTTCTCTGTTTGGGGTGTTACCCAGCATTGTCCCAAAATGTTTGCAGTGAGCGAGTCCTCCAGTTGTTAGGGGGTAGGTTCTCCCAGCTTCTGTGCCATTCCTACTCCCCCTTGCTTCGGAACTTACCCCGACTCTCCAATACCTCAGCTGCCATCTGGAGTTCAGAGATCTCAGTCTGTATTTTATTCATTGTTCAGTTAGTTAGTTGCTGGGGAAGTAAATGGGATCATTCACTAACTTTGCCATCTTGCTCCACTCTTTATACATTTTATTTATTTTTTATATATTTTATTGTTATTGAGAATGTACACAGCAAAGTTTACACCAATTCAGCAGTTTCTACATTAAAAATTTAGTGACATTGATTGCATTCTTTGCGTTGTGTAACCATTCTCACCCTCCTTTTCTGAATTGTTCCTCCTCCATTAACATAAACTCACTGCCTCCTAAGGTTCTTATCTAATCTTTCCAGTTGTCAATTTGTCACTATGTCAATTTGATCCCATATAGGTAGTTCTTAAAAGAGCATATTGCTCAAGGCAGACTTTTTTTTTACTAGTTAAGCTAAACTATGGTTTGGTTTTAAGACAGTTTCAGGGGATATTTTTGGTTTAAGGTTTAAAGTTTATCTCTGGGCAGCAGTCTCAGGGGATCATCCAACCTTCATGGCTCTAGGAAGTCTGGAGTCCATGAGACTTTTAAAAGTCTGTTCTGCGTTTTCCCCCTTTTGATCAGGATTCTTCTATGGAATCTTTGATCAAAATGCTCAGTAATGATAGCCAGACACCATCCAGTTCTTCTGGTCTCATGGCAGAGGAGGCAGTTGTTAATGGTGGCAATTAGCCACACATTCCATATCCTCCTCCTATTCCTGACTCTCTTACTTCCTCTGTTGTTCCAGGCCAATAGAGAGCAATTGTTGTACTTTGGATGGCTGCATGCAAGCATTTAAGACCCCAGGCCCTATGCATTGAACTAGGAGGTAGAACAGAGGCACTAAACATGTTATTAGGCCAATTAACTGGGATGTTCTATGAAACCATGACCCAAAGCCCCCAAACTAAGGATCCAAATCCCATAAGGATGTTTGCTTGTACATAGCAGCCTCAGCAGCTGCACTTCTTTTTTCAGTCATTGTAAATATATCTATCACAACTTTTGCCAATTCAACTTTTTACAGGTGTACAACTTATTGACAGCAATTACAGTAATCAACTGTGCAGCTCTACCCTTAATCAATACTTTATTTCCATCACTGTTAACCCCTCCTTTCCCCCTTACTTCCACCACTGGTAACCACTGATAACCTTTGTTCTTTATATATTTGTCTTTTCTTGTCTTTTAATATAAGTGAGGTCATGCAACATTTGTCCTTTTGTGATTGACTTATTTCACTCAGCATAATGTCTTCAGGCTCCATCCATATTGTAGCATGTACCAAGACTTCATTTCTCCTACTGGCCGAGTGGTATTCAGTTACATATATGTACCACATTTTGTTTATCTGTTCATCTGTTGATGGGCATTTAGGTTGATTCCACCATTTGACTATTGTAAATAATGTTGCAGTGAACATTGGTGTACAAATCTCTGAGTATCTGCTTTCAAGTTTTTGGATATATACCTAGGAGTGGAATTGCTTGATCATATGGTAGTTCTATTTTTAGTTTTTTTGAGGAACTGCCACATGTTTTCCACAATAGTTGTACCATTTTGCATTCCCACCAGCAATGGGTAAGGGTTCCAGTGTCCCCACATCCTCACCAACATCTGTTGTTTTCTGTTTCGTTTTTTTTAT